AAATGAGAAGGTGCTCTCCTCCTTCTAGAAGAAATCCAGAAAGTGGCTTTGGAGACCTGAAGTCCAGGTCTTAGCTGGCAATGTAGGTATCATTGTTTCTGAGCTACCTAAGCTAAGTCAAGAGTGAGCTATGATAGCAGTGGGATAGCAAGAGATCAGGCAAGGATTATAGAATAAGGGACTTGGCAGTAGATAAAAAACCCACGCCCTAAGCTCAAAGCAAGGGCTGAATGGATCTAGTTTGAGACTTTGCAAGGCCTTTGGGTGAGTTGGGGCTACACTGAAATTGAGGGAAATGCTGGGTTAGAAAAGACATGACTATGCACATGGCTTGCTAGTAAAACTGCATGTTAGAGCTCAGGAACCTTATGTATGAGAGAGAGAAACCCAGCAGATGGTAATCATAGGTGAGTGAGTTTGTGGTTTTGAAAAAGTGTATGTCTTGTTTCATAGCATGCCAGTGCTAAAGAGCTACTCTTCAGGCCACATATTATATACCACAATGCAGCTGGATGCTGCTTTTGTGATGGGTGGGTAGGTTTAGAAAAGAAGCTGAGAGTTAACTTATTTTGATCTATCTTCTCTACCTTGAAGCATTCCTAGGAAGCTGAATTTCAACAATTTGTATTTTTAAACTTATGTGTTCTGAAGTTTCCTACAAAGTGGCAATACTGAGGAAAAAATAAAAGGTTTTGGAAATAGAACGTCATATTTTAAAAATCATGTTTGTTCTTTGGTGGTGTTGCAAAATGTGGAATATGCCAAGATTATCTCAAGTCAGGATGTTCTTTGATGTAAGATCTTTGTATATTTTTGTAGTGGTTTTAGTTCACCAATTTGAGATTTCCCGGCCAATGCACCAATTTTGTGGGGGGTTTAGTGGTGGCCAAATCACCAGTGCACCCACTAGAATCATTTACTCATTTCCTGCCATGAGATAGGGTTAGGAAGGAAGGCAAAGCAGGCTCAAACTTTGACTGGTATAAAGAAAAACTTTATTAACAGAAACTAAAAGAAAAAATAATAAGAATCAGAATAAAACCTTCAGAACACTTCTCCTCCCTCCTACACCCTCTTTTCTCTCACACTGACAATGTACTGAAACAAATCAGTCAGTTTACCATCTCTAAAAATAGTCTTTCTCCAGTTCAACTAGGGAGAAAAGTCTCTCTTGTCAGTGTATGGAGACTTCTCCACAAGAAAACAGTTCTCTCATGGCTTCAATGCCACAGTGAATCAGCTGCCCAGGAGAATGGAAATCTGATCACCGTGTAAAAGCCCTTCCCCTCGACTTACAGCTTTCCTCACAACTGTTTTCGAGGGCCATGTCGACTTACGGAGTACACTTTTAAGCATGAACTGTTTAAAAAAGCAAAGGTTTTCTTTATCTATCTCTGAGATCATCTCTGGGAACAGAGGTCTTCTTCTCCACTGGGGGCAAAGAGTCTTCATCACTCTTCCCTGTGTTCAAGCTTCTCATCAAATCACAGCTGCTTTGATATCTGCTTCTTCAGCATGAATGCCTTTGCTCATGTCTACAATTTTAACACTTCAACCACCCCATACTTTTCAATCAATTACAGGGGAAAAGAGTCTGATTTTTCAATCACATCTTCTCCATAGCCTTACAAGAGGATTTCAGCCCAAGAGTGAGGCATCTCCATCAGTCCCTCCTGGGACCTGACTTCTACTTCACTGACCTTGGTGTCTTCATGTTGTTTTTCTATGTGTCTTCCACTCTGTCCTTTCCTCTCACTCGAGAGGGAACTGAAGCTCTGCAAGTCTCATCTGTGCACTGTAAGAGTTAATATCTTGCCCGAGGCCTGCAGAGGTGATCACTGCTGGGTCCTGGCCTAAACTGTTTCAGTGGAGAATTCTTCAGCAGCAGGGCCAGGAGGGGGGCTAGGACACAGCGAGAGCATCCATGGCTCGATGGCTCCCCCTGCCCGGCGGTTTCTGTAAGATTCAGCAGCAGCAGCCACACCACGGGCTGCTCTGGCCATGCTGGGGCGAGGGGAAAGCAGTCAGGATCTCGGTGGCCAGGATCTCAGTGGCCCGGATCTCAGTGGCCAGGATCTCAGCGCCTCCCCTCCCCCTGCCATGCAATCACTGGGGCCCAGCTCTGCGGAGGGGCCGGACCAGGCTGTTACCTGTGCTGAGGTCAGAAGGGAAAGAGACGTTCCCGGGCTTTGTTCGTTTTAAAATATATGTTCACAGAGGCGTGTTCTGCTTTCTCAGTGGTTTAACAGGTTGTCAGTTCTCAAAACTGTCAGGGAAATTAATCCACAAACACCAGAGG